CCCTTCTCCATTTTATAAAAATCCACTTAGATCTAATCCAGGGCTGCCGCATGAGTGCTTCTCTTGTACCTACAGACTTAGTCTCCGGGCCAAGCCCCGAGACTACTACAGACTCTCAAAATCAACTACAAAGTATTTTAGCCCACCATAACACTATAATTGAAATTAAATTTTAGTTACTGATCTTGCTGAGGTACTTCAATTACTCAGAAGACATGGTTATTCAGGAGTCAGTTACCATACGCTCAGTCTTTACCTTGGTCTGTTTCCTAACACAATACGTGTCATTGAAGCTGATCACAGGGGAGATACTGAAAGGTGTCTCAGTGAATGCTTTACTAAATGGTTAGGAAAAGCTGATGATGTTCAGAAGAAAGGTGGTCCTACTATCTATTCATTGGTATCAGCATTGAGGAGAATAGGCGGAGAGAATGGAGTAGCTGATGGAATAGATATGGAGAGTAAGTTTGATAATAACGAGCATATTTATTATTTCTTTATAGAGCATCCTGCTTGTAAAATTCTTGCTTGTCATTCAGCTCAACAATCTGTCATTGCTGCTGCATTACCTCAGTTGGTCATAGTTTTGTATTTAACAAAACTGATAAAAGAGATGATCCTTCCAACTAATGTACAAGGAGAGAATCTACTGATTCAAATAAAAGAAGCTGTTTGTAATGATTATCAAAAACTTGAAGCATTTGCTGTAATTTTATGTAAAGTCAAGGCCACCATTGAAATCGGCAACTCCCTTTTGAAAGAATACAGTAAGCAATTGTTCTGTCATGCATAGGCAAGTCAATTATTATTTATAGGTGAAGTTTTTTGCAGTGATGATTTAGTAGTAATGAATGATGATAATGGTAAGCGTATAAATAATATTATGGTTTTAAATATATATATATATATATACAAAGGGCTAAAGATTTACCTTCCTCAGAGTATGACAGCACAGTTTACCACCATGAGGTTGAAATTTGGTCAAACTTTTTTGAAGGTAGAGAAATGCATCAAGGAAAAGTCTCCAGCACATAAAGATATCAAAAATATTTTGAGTTATTATTCGGAAGATTTAGAAAGTCAAATCGCTCATTGTGAAAGCACTTAATAGCATTTTAAAATTAATCAGAGATAAATGTTCACTAAACGATATTAGTATGTTGGAGTTTTTTGTTATTGAGCTCAATATACAAAAAGCTGAAAGTGTCATTC